AGCTCATTTACCGCAAAAAGTAGCCACTTTGTCGTTTCTTTAATTCAAAGGCATTCCCCCGTTGCCTCAGCCAGCATCGGGATCCTTTACGACGATATTTCCGTAATTACTTGGAAGAAAAGGCTAAAGTGGCATCAAAAAAAATTGTGTATTCAGTAGATCGAAATGGTATTTCTTGCCAGCCATCGCTTGCAGCTTTACAAAGCGCAGCGCAATACAGTTCTCGTCTCTGGGCCGGGGCACTCCAGTATCAACTCCTTCCACTTGACCGTATTCGACGGAGAGCGGCTCGAATCGTCGACGACCAAGTTCTTTCAGATCGGCTTGATCCACTGGCCTTACCAAGAGCCGTTGCATCTCTATGCATCTTCTACCACATATACTACGAGAAGTGTTCAGAGGAATTGTTCGAATTATTTCCAGCTGCTGAATTCTACCAACGTACACTGCGAGAGAACTCAAAATTTTCATCATCTCGATGGCTGGCGGTCCATTATTGTGCAATTTACGCTGAATCCTCTGCATAGCACGATCCAACTGTGGAATTTACTGCTGCCAGCGGTTTTTACGGGCCGAAACAACTTCAAAAAAAACGTAACCTTCAAAAAAACCTACTCCTTACTACAAGGTCGGCAACGTACCTCCAATTCCCCTGGTGTGGAAGACGTCATGGGCGACGGTGATCATTTACTATCAAGTGAACCGCATTATACTCGTTTGCATCCTCTTCACTCATATTTGCTGTGAATTTCATCGCAAAATTTCTAAAGAAACTGGAAAACTGCTAAAACTGTAGTTGTAATAAATATTGCATATTGTTATATGGTAAGTGAATTTCGAGTTTCAGTACCGCGATTTATATTGGTTTGTACCTAGACGTTAGAAATAGATTAATGCGGGGTGGATGAAAAGGCGACAGGTCATAGAAAAAACCGGCGATCCGTGGTTTTCCCTTAAGTTCAAGAGGAAAATCTAAGAGATAATGACCTGTGTCATTGTATGAATCCGAGGGCTGGGCTAAGAAAGAGATATATAAAAGAAGACTATATGAGATTAAGATTGATGTGAGGGGTGAAGAAATTTGATACAATTTGAAATGTATACGTATTTGTATATGTAGTTTGAAGGTTGCCCCAGTAACCCCACAGTTGAGAAGTGATTGTTTAGAGTGGTATTCACTTTGAAAGTGAATGGTTATAAGAGTAGAGAAAGACTTAAGAAAAGGTGATAAAGGAGTGAACGAGGAAATGGCGACTAGTAGAAGAGAATGGAAATGAAAAACCTATACAGACTCAGAATAACTTGGGGTACCTAAATGCAGGAGAAAAAAGAAGTTATGTTATGTAAATACATATAAATTAAAAAATATAACTTAACAAAGAGCGCACTTTGATGGGAGATTACAGCTCGCTCTTAAATTCGTTCCTGAGGTTTGTTACCAAATGAGTTTTGAGGGTAATTGTCGTCGCCAAAGTAAAATCACACAGTATGTACAATATAATGTTTGCATAATGATTTCTTATATTTACGCGAACACTACACATTGAAATAATACTAGTTTTTACGGAATTTATCGCGTATATTTAACTTTTTAAATACCCGACGTTTCGAGAGCTTTACAGCACCCATGGTCACGGGAAGGACTGAGATGTTCAACGTCCAGCTGTCATAGTTAACCGCGGTTACCATAGATTAAAATTTTAACTTTTGTTCCAATCTACACAGTATGAACTTATGGTATCATGGAGTCTTGCAGTTGTATGCTTGGGTTGGGATTTAATTTTATTTATTATAGGATCTCAAGCAGATGGTAGCACCCAGCCATCTTCTCTATTGAAATTAGGATGTTTTTTGATTTCAATAGCCTCGCGAATCATCCTTGGAAGGAATCGGTGTTCTTTAGCGAGGATTTCATTTTACGAGGACTATAACGAGGATTATAATTCTAAAATATAAGAACTTTTGTCGGATGTAAGTACTTATAAAAAGGTTAAACACGACCCAACAAATAGCACACTAAAAACAACTAGTGACCTCATAAAGAAACACTCCGAAAAATTAAATCTGGACGTAAAATGGATAATACCTACGTGCGCCAAATCACCAAAGTTGTATGGGTTACCAAAAATACACAAGCCCAATGATCCATTACGCCCCATAGTGAGCCAAATCGATTCACCAACTTACAGATTGGCTCAACACTTGGCGAAATACTCTCACCGCTCAGGGGACATACAAGAGCACACATAAAGGATTCCTACCATTTTGTCAGCGAGATTAAAGACCTACGTCTGGCAGACAATGAAACTATGGTCAGTTTTGATGTGCAGTCATTGTTTACATGCTTACCTGTTGAAGACTGCATCTCAGTTGTAACTAGAAGGCTGGAAGAAAACAACATGCCCGTAGAATATGCAGTATTACTCAGACACTGCCTTACATCTGGCTACCTATTGTGGAAGGAGGAGTTCTACAAGCAAGTAGATGGTGTGGCGATGGGCTCACCTGTATCTCCCATTGTCGCCGACATATTCATGGAAGCCTTTGAGGTGAAAGCCCTGCTTACTTCTCCCATAAATCCAAGATTACTACGTAGATGTACGTAGACGACACTTTCACAATTCTACCTTTAGATAAAGTAACTGCATTTTTAGACCATCTTAACTATATAAATTCTAAAATTCAGTTCACAATGGAGTTAGAGGCAAACAATTCCTTGGCTTTTCTAGATGTGTTAGTAATTCGGAATCCTGATAACACCTTGAGCCATACTGTGTATAGAAAAAAGACCCATACAGATAATTTTAAATGGTGATTCTCACCACCATCCTTCACAGTTAGCTACCGTGGGTAAATCTTTGTTTCAGAGAGCACGAGGGATCTGTGACAGTAAACACCTGGCTGCCGAGCTCCAACATGTCAAGCAAGTTTTGCATGACAACAAGCTTCGGGTCCCGCGCCTACGTCACAGAGAACGAGTGAAGCCGGCCACAGTCGAGCGTGTACCTGCTGTACTGCCATATGTTAGAGGAGTCACTGACAAGATTGGCTACATCTTGAAGCGCGCTTCAATCAAAACATACTTCAAGCCGCCGAAGAAGATTGGTCAGTTTTTACCATCAGTCAAGTGTAACGTCCCTCTGCAAGATGCAGGAGTGTACAAGCTTGATTGTGAATGTGGTCTCTCCTACATAGGACAAACTAAAAGATCAATTAAAACCCGCGTCAAAGAACATATAGCTGATGTGAAGAATCGACGCTCCGGGAAGTCTGCAGTCTGTGAACATGTACAGGATCGCCCCCGTCACTACATCAGATTTGATAGACCACAAATCCTCGCTAAAGAACACCGATTCCTTCCAAGGATGATTCGCGAGGCTATTGAAATCAAAAAAACATCCTAATTTCAATAGAGAAGGTGGCTGGGTGCTACCATCTGCTTGGGATCCTATAATAAATAAAATTAAATCCCAACCCAAGCATACAACTGCAAGACTCCATGATACCATAAGTTCATACTGTGTAGATCGGAACAAAAGTTAAAATTTTAATCCTATGGTAACCGCGGATAACTATGACAGCTGGACGTTGAACATCTCAGTCCTTCCCGTGAGCCATGGGTGCTGTAAAGCTCTCGAAACGTCGGGTATTTAAAAAGTTAAATATACGAGATAAATTCCGTAAAAAACTAGTATTATTTCAAATATAATGTTTGTTTAATAAACATATCATGTAGGTACTTTTATCTACACAATGATGAAACTTCTTTATTGGATTTCAGCATTTAATATAAACTAAACACTATGATAATTGATGCTAAAAATATTTATATCAATGTACAACAAAAATGGCGTTCCAACAGCAACAAGTCTTTCCAAATAAATTATCTAAAGCTAAATGTTTGTAATAACAATTTTAGTGTTTTGGTGTACCTATATTCGTATCTAAGCTGTTCTGCCGTTTTCTTATAAATAAATACGCCATTAGTATCGTAAAATTACTAAAAATATTCATATCAAAATAGTTATTAAATAAGTCTAAAAACATTAAATCTATTTGTGTTTTATAAACAGGTTTCCCGCATATAATCAAAATAAATTGAGCATAAAAAACTAGATTAGTTCCATATATTCTAACTTTTATACAATTCGTGCGTTGGCAACTATTTTTAAATACACTCAATAGATACACATAATAAGAGGTCTTAAGTCAGAAGATCAAAACAAATAAGTACCAATTTTCTGTGATCGATTTCCCATATTATATGCACTAAAACTATATGCCTCATTTAAGTCTTTGTATGCTAAAATAGATTTCAATCAGATGATGCAACACTAAACCGAGCTTAGTAAATGTTCTGATGAAATATAAGCACAAAATTTCACCCACTTCAATTTGTTCATGTCACAAAGAGATTTTATTCAATGAGTAACACAAGGAATGAAAAACAAATCTGTTTTAGAAAATACTTATTTAAAAATTATCAATTTATTTTTGAAATACTACATACAACCAAAGACATCAACAAAACATTTTAGCATACAACACATTGATCATTGTCTATTTTCAAACACATTGCCGTCGTAAACCATAGAGATATAATACCTACTAAGTCTTCTACTCTCTACTAAGTCTTCTAGTCTCCTACTATACTTCTAAGTCAGTGTCGTAAACGTAGAACGCGCAATTTGACACGTAAGTGACCCGCCTCCGTTTTCGACCAATCAGCGTTCGTTAATCGCGCAGTCCTCCGTTATATATAACGCGCGTGCAAATAATTTAACATTACTATTTCGAAACGCTTATAATAACGTTCAATTATTAAATGGGCGATAGATTTATCGTAATTAAATATTATAGATGGCTCCTGTTTTTATTTAGTTTCAGTAACTTCGATAAAATTTAGATATTTTTTATTTTCGTTTTTAAATTAACTTTTTTAAGTAATTAAATATTTAACTTATTTAAGTATAATAACTTGTTTTATATTAAAAATAAAAATGTTGCACCTAAACTCCATTCCTGAAGTCTACGTTACGAAAGTTGCGCAGTAAGTACTTATTTTTTTATTTCAACGGTTATTAATTAAAACTTCTTTTCACGGATTTTATGGTGTTTATTTATTTGATTTTTAATTCACGACGTATCGGGTGCTTTCCAGTACCCATTGTTACGGGCATCACGTGGGACTGAGGTGAGTTTCCCGATATCAGTGTTAACCCGGAGTAGTTTCAGCTTTTTAATTATTACTTAAATTATTGAGTTCATTCTGCGTAGATCAGACCATAAATAATAATTAAAAAGCTGAAGGTACTCCGGGTTAACACTGACATTGGGACGTCAGTCACCTCAGTCCTCCGTGACCATGGGTACTGAAAAACACCCGAAACGTCGGGAATTAAAAATCAAATAATTAAACACGATAAAATCCGTAAAAGTAGTTTTAATCAATGTGTAGTGTTCGCTTAAATATAAAAAATTATTATTTAACGATTATATCTAGTTAGCTAGCAAAGCTGGTAAGAAAGCGCTTTATCATTGGAGTCTATGTTTCAGCAACTTAGAGCCAGTAGCAGGAGAATCGCCTCTAGGTGTTTTTTAAACAATATAGAAACCCAGTGTAATTATAGACTGAGGTATTTCATCCTTTACACATGGGTATTCATTTCATTCGGGATCTTCGTGTTTATAAATTTTTTCTTCAAAACATGCTGAAGATTTTGAAGGATTTTGACGACAGCTCACTCAAGTTCATAAAGCGCCAAAGCGATCTTAATAACTTAAGGTTTAAATCAAGAATAAAGCACATGTTTCGTCGTTTTCTCTAATACATAGTTTACATGCGCTGACTCAAAATTACATCACTTTTTCGTATCAAAAGCCACTTCAAACCAGTCGACGGTCAAGTACCCGCCAAAACTCAGTTGTGTGTTTTGTTACAGTTATCCACATATTGCAATAGTCATTTACCATCATATGGGTGATGGAAGTTTGTCACTCGTAACTTAAAATGACTAAGTTGTGTTTTTATTTTATTGTCATTGTTCACAGATGCGCGCAAGTGGCGCTAGGGTGCAGTCGTGCTGCCCACCAGACAGCACTCCGGGGTACTATCAAGGCCAGTCCTCAGCTTGCCGCACTTACTCCAAAGGTGTGTTTTATACTAGTGATGTTTCGAATATTATACCGTACCTCAACAATAGTTAATACCAGCTATTTACAATATACTAGCGATACGCTTCAGCTTCGCTCGGGTGATTTCTGAATCTCGACTACAGCGCCACCTATCGGGAAAAATTATCTAAACCATCCAGTCCACCCACTCAAACACACACAAAAAATTTCATCATAATCGGTCGAGCCATTTTCAAGTTTTAGTGAGATTAACATCTGAAAACAATTGATATACGAGTAGGTATATAGAGAAGATATGATTTAAAAATATTTATCTTCAAATGAAAAGAGAAGGCTTTTGTGGTATAATATAAGCCTTTCCTCGACGGAAACTTTTTATATATAACCATGAAAAAACAGAAAACGTTACGAGAAGTTTTAATTAAATATTAAAGAGTGATTGTGCAACTGTAAAAAGTTCATCTAGTTTGATTCTGAAATACAAAACATTTAAAAAATTAAACTAATTAATAAATTGTATTCCACGCTGTAGCTTCCGAAGCTATAGATATAGATCGCTATAGATTCTATAGAATAATTAAGGCGCTTTGCACATGGAGCAACTATTGTAGCAACTGGCAACTGGCAACTAGCTTTTTACATATTATCAAATGGGATTGCGTGCACATTGCGACTCAAATTTTCTTCGAAACCTTTTAAATGTTGATAGTTGCCTCAACTAAAGTTGCTGCGTGGGCAAAGCGCCTAAATCCCCGACTATAGAAAATATTATGATGTGAAAAATTATTTCACTTTTTTATATTTGAAGCAGGCTTTTACTTTTTATGAAAAGTTAAATTTTTTAATTCTTTTGAGTGGAGAGGAATATCACAAGGTCAAGGTAACAACAGTCCATACAGTCTAGTCTACCTGATGGAAGGTAATTACTATAGAAAATTTTGATGTGAAAATTTTTTTATTGAGGGGCTTTTCTTTTTTGAAAAGTTTAATTTTTTAATTTTTTGGTGGAGAGGTCCGTCGTCTCTGTGTAAGTGGACGCTGTAGCCCATAGACATCTACATCTATGCTCGATTCAGAATCAGAATACAGATGAGTAGTCACAGTCATGTCATCCTTGAAGACTAAGATGGAATGCATCATTTTCAGTATAAAAGGTCCTCAGTTTTCTACCCTAACCATACGAAACTAAGCAGTGGTATTCTGTGTGGGCGTCCATTTCCGCTACAACTATAGGTAATATACCTGCAGCATGGTTCTACCACATATGTACAAATAATGTAATTTTTTTAAATATAATAACGACAAAAAATACAAAATCGTTTCAAAATTGACATGCAGAACACTTACAGTAAGAAAATGAGTATTAAAAATTATATTCTATTGCAACTAGTTTTAGTTAAACTTAATTAAAGTACAAAAATAAATATCGAATATCACTTTAAAGAGAAATAATCTAAATTATTCTGACATGTGGAATGCAATTTCAGTTAAATTGCTGCATTGTCCTTTACCGTTTACCAGGTCAACTAGTAACCTAACGTCTAAAGTTCAGGCATTTGCTCCTCATAGATATATTACACAACTGCCTTACACCTTATCGCAGTCAGTAGAACGGGTCACAGTGTGCGTTCATTTAGTTCCACGCCACGACCGTGAAATAACGGAACTGAATGTTGTTTTGCAATAATTAACATTGTTTTAAGTAGGTCAAAATATTCCTTAATATTTGCAATCACTTGCGACTAAAAGTAGTAAAGTATTTTTTATATTTGACAATAATAACATTGTTTTGCAAACACAATGGGATTAGTTGCACTCATCAACTCACCTTCCCAGCGTGATGAGTGGGAACAAATTGAGAAAAGTGTACTTAAGTCTTTCCATAATACTTCCTTCAGTACATTCCATTCGTTCAAATGTCTGATAAAGAAAATGGTTTGTTATATCTCGACCTCATCTTGGGTAACGGATAACGGTGTGAGGCCTGGCCTTTATATGCTTTATGGCCTTCGACAGAAATTATAAATTGTTAAAAAAAATAGTTCGTTCAATCAAACTCTTTTATCGACTACAAAATAAGATGGAAAAACAATCGCCAATCACACTTCGCTAAACTAATCTATAGCTACCCGTTTAGTAAGTATACTTCAATGCCCTTTACTAGATTTTTTTAATTCAAGCTTAAGTGGCAATGGACCGGCCATATTGCTCGGACTGACAACCGATGGGTAAGAAAGATCCTCTGATGGAAGCCTCGTATCGCTAAGAGTAGGGTAGGGCGGCCCCCACTAGATGTAGTAATGACCTGGATTAAGACATGCGTGAAGTCGATGAATAGCGACGAAAGTGTTCACCATTGGGCTTGATTGAGCTGTAATGATGATGAAACTAACATTTAATACTTAAGAAACTTACCAATATAACTCCATTTCGCAGGTTCGAGCATTTGTAGAACGAAGTGCGGCCCTATGCGAACCGGAACACGTGCATATTTGCGATGGATCCGAAGCAGAGGCGACCACCTTGCTACAGCTTATGCAGCAGCAGGGCACGCTTCGCCGTCTGCCCAAGTACGACAATTGGTAAGTGTTATTTTTTTTTTTGAACTTTTTTTAACTACAGGTAGAATTAGTATAAAGTCCACGACGCCTGAGTCTAGGTCGTCAGAATTTGAGGGACAGCAAAATGTGAAAAGACGCCTATATTCGACAACAAAGAATTAAAGAAATTTCACTTCAAAAAGTGAAACTTCTTTATCGACGTAGTGAAAACATTTAGGACGAAATTAAAAAAAAAACTAAAACGTCACGTTTTCTTGTAACGTGTCACCGCCGGGGTTGTATGAGTGTACTATTATTTAACCTACATATATTAAATGTAAAATAAAAGAAGAATGATATGTCGTTATATTTTTATGATTTAAACATATTTTACGAGTGGAATTATTTTCGAATAATAAATTTCTCTTACTAAACAATAAGGGCGGCATATCGGGCTGGATCTAGGACGTCATTTAACACCTAAATTCCGTAGCGTAACTCTTATAAGTCCTTTTTATGGTTTAACGTGTCACGATGCATCTGTAATATATTTGGAGGAAAATGAGTTAGGCTCGACCGGAGAAGGACAACGCTCTCACAGAATACCAGCGTAAAATAGCAACTAGATAAATATGCTGCGGTGTTTCGTATGGCGAGCACCGAAGACTCATTTCAGTGGTAACGAAGTACACCACACATCTATATTTTGATTCCTCATCAAAGTTAGATATACCTAAGTGTCCATAGGCCACAGCATTCTTATTATCAGGTGAACTGTGTGCTCATTCCAAGAAATGCAAATTTAGCGATGTGTAAAAATAATATATTTGATATATAATAGGTTCTTTATAAGAATTTTCCTCGTCTTTCATAGTCGTAGTGCGTTATGTAACCAATACAACAATTTCTTTGCAGCTGGTTGGCTCGCACCGATCCAGCAGACGTGGCCCGTGTGGAATCACGAACATTCATCTGTTCCGAAAACGAGCGCGATGTGGTGCCAGCAGCCAGAGCTGGTCAGAAATCTGCTCTAGGAAATTACATCACGCCAACGGATTACGAGAAGGCTATCTCTGAGAGATTCCCTGGTTGTATGCGAGGTAAGGGGCTAAACATATAAAAGTCACATAGGTTCTTAATTATTGTAGTACACTAGGTGTTCACCGCAACTTCGTCCGCGTCAAAATATTTTTTTAAAAGAATATTACCAATGCTAACTATTCTTCCCTCTCTACTAATATTCCCCTTAACCACTCGTGGTAAGCTTAAATTGCTTGTGTTACGAGTGGTTCACGCCAGTAGTCGAATGGCGAATTCGAACCCACGACCGTTTTCAGTTCGCGGTCCGCGCCCTGTCATTAGGCCACTGTCGCTTTATTACGATTGGATTTCATGGGTTTTATTTTTTTGCGCGAACCCTAATTATTTTTCCAAAATAAAAGTAGCCTAAGTTACTCCTTATAACATCAGCTATCTGCCAGTGGAAGTCCCGTCAAAATCAGTCGATCCATTTCGGAGATTAGCCGGAACAAACGGACAGACAGAAATACAGACGGGACAGACAAAAATTTTATAGACCTAAGTATCGCATATGCTTTCATAGGCATTTAGTAAAAGCAGTTATTATGTCATTATAAACAGACACTTCAATTTTATTTATTTGTATAGATGTATAGACATCAATTATTATAGTAGGTATTTATTATAATAATAAATAATAATAATGTCCTCCAGACCGAATTTTAGCCACGGCGGCCTGCCTCAACGGAGGCTAGCCATAGGCGCAGGACAGGATTATAGTGCCCAAGTGTATGCGCAAGCACAGGTGCTCTCTCTATTCCCTCACTCTCATAATCCGATGGGACGGTAAGCCGACACGACCGGATCAGGCGCAGGCTTTACGTGCTTGCCGAGGCACTGGGGTGAGACGCCAACTTCCTGACTCCGGGCAACTAACCGAAAAGCTTAATAATTAATTTTTGGCCCGACCCGGAATTCGAACACAGGACCACATGATCAACAGTCGCACTACTACAACCACTAGACCAACGAGGCAGTCAGGTATTTATAATAATAATATATTATTCCATATTATGTATTGCAAACTAGCATATAAATTATACGTTTAAAGAGAATTAAACGTAAATGAACAAAAATGTAGGTACGTAAGTTATATTACATATGCAAAGAATCCTATTTGTTTCCTTTTACTAATAATGTTAATCACGGATCGGAATATATTAATTGAACAAGTACCTAACTTTTGTCTTTTTATTAACATCTATAACGCTTTGTGTTTTCTATTAAGACTATTTAAATTACAATGTTATCCTTTTAAAACTTAAATAGAAGGAATATGTAACGCATCAAAATGTTGACTAATTCAAATCTTTAGAATTGCAGAATGTGTTATCCTATTTGAAACCAAAAACTTTAAATATACTACCAGTAGAATACATAGAAGTCTTTGTTTTACGCAGCCAAGGTTTGCCGATATTCACCTGATATTTCATTTTCATATAAAGATTATTTTGTGGTATATAAAAAGGCTTGAAATTTTAGAGGCATTTTTCTTAACCTTTCAACCCATAAATATTTTCGAAAGCTGGCTGTATTTCAAATATTAATAGCTTTTTATATTTTTTAAGGTCGCACAATGTATGTGATTCCATTCTCGATGGGGCCAGTGGGTTCCCCATTATCTAAGATTGGAATCGAAGTGACTGACTCTCCTTACGTGGTGTACTCAATGCGCGTCATGACTAGAATGGGTAAGAACGATTGATTTTTTGATTAATATCTACTTTGTTTATTCCATGATGTTCCTTCCTTCCTCCTTCCTATAGAAGTCTATTTTGTCGTGAAGATTTTGTGTTGAGAACTTCGAATACTTTTTGTAACGCTATAAAGATTGTGGAAAGGGTGAAAGTAAAGGAATCCAAACATGACAGTAATTAATTTTTACATCTTTATTATAATAAATTTAAATTCACCAAATCAATATTCGATTCTATAAATTATTACGAATTGGATTCAAACTTAAAAATAAGAGAGTACTGAACGAATCTGTTACTTGTGGTAGAGCTATATTATTATGGTTGTAGCACGAATGGGTCGGCTCGACTCGGGTTGGACCACGCTCTCACAGAATACCAGCGTAAAATAGCAGCTTAATGCTGCTGTGTTTCGTATGGTTAATGTAGAGAACCAGAGACCCTTACTGAAAATGAGTCATTCCATCTCAGTTCTCACCTGAGAACTGAGATGGAATGAATGGAATGAATGAATGGATTTTTGAATTTTGATTCTTAATTGAGGATAAACGTAGATGTCTATGGGCCACAACAACCACTTACCATGTGGACTGTGTGCTCGTTTGTCTGTTGTGTATATTTTAATCCCATTGTTGACTTCACAGGTACACCAGTTTTGGACTTGTTACGCAAAGACGAACAGTTTGTCCGCTGCCTACACTCTGTTGGCAAGTCGGGAGGAATCCCTGGATGGCCGTGTGATCCTCCCAGAACAATTATCTTACACAAGCCTGATGAAAACGAGATCGTCAGTTATGGTGAGTTATTTCTACATCGTTATGATTTTTTGTCGTTTAGAAATATACACGTGGTACTTAGTTATTATATTGCGTAATACGATAACTTGACTATACAAACAAAATTAACTCAGTCAATTTAAATACATTGTTTTAGTAAAAGTATTGTACAATTTGGAAGATGAATGAATGATAAACGAATGGGACGTGGGACATTAGCGTAACGTTCTTTGCATTAGGTACTTATGGCAGATGAATGAACCATATGCGAATTAGGTAACATTAATTTTTTTTTTGAAAATTAAAAGTATAAACTGACTACGTACCGACCGACCAAAAAAAAATATCTGCATCTGTTATTTTTCTACTCTTAAAGTATCGTTTTCTAAAAAGTTTGAAAATATTTAATCCATTGAGATATACAAAAGCCTATTAAATAAAATAAAAAAAATCGTAAAAAAATTTCACAATAACTGTCGAAGATATTTGCGTAACATAAATAAACAAATAATAGTAATTTTTATTTATCATTCGTTACAGACTATCAAAGTCCACTGCTGATAACAGGTCTTCCGCATGGATTGCTTCAACTTCAAGGAGGGATAACACTACTAATTAAAAGTTTGAACTTAAATAGATATCGTAATCTAACCACTGTATTTGATAGCGTTCAGTTAGACGTGTGTTAATTATGAATGATTCGTTCGTTTCAGCTGGTACACTTAAAAATATTGATGGTTCATTCATCTGTTTTTGAATTTTCCCGTACAACCAATCACAAAAAATGGGCGGAACCTTTCTAACTCGTGATTGGTGTAAATTGTGAATGAATCGAAAACCGACCGAATCACGAATGATCTGAATGAGTTGTTTTTATTGTAGGGTATTATACTGGAGCCTGAAACGATCCATTTGAATGATCGATCTGAATGTACCGGTACGCGTAACGAAATGTACTAGAAGGATTCGGTCACGATAAATGAATGATTGACACAAGTTTATGTTCACAATATTCATTAAACAAATTACATCATAAACTGATGTTATCAGGAAGATGCTGCTGCCCATCTCCTGTTTGTTTTCCTCTGTCGCCTCTTCCGAAACCCACGAGATGACTTAGGGTAGTGGAATCACTTACGCCGCCATTACAAGGCGTTCTAAATATGTTGAACCCAAATAGCCCAAGATATACGCAGAAAAAGAATTGTACATTTAATAAAACGAAAAAAAAATGCTATTTTAGGAAGCGGTTACGGTGGCAACAGCTTACTGGGGAAAAAATGTTTCGCGCTACGTCTAGGTTCAGTGCTGGCGCGAAAAGAAGGTTGGCTCGCGGAGCATATGCTGGTAAGTTTCTTCATTGATTCATAAGCTCGTTAAAGTCTTCCATTGCACAGGAACCCCTCCTATCGTAGAGGAATCGTCACGTTTGGCCGGTTTTTTATAGAATAAGGGTGACAACCGAGCACACAGTCCACCTGATGGGACTAAGGTGTAATGCCTCGTTTCCAGTAAAAAAGGGTCTCCGATTCTCTACACTCACCATACGAAACACAGCAGTATTAAGCTGCTATTTTACCCCTGTCGTATTTTCATTCTATCCCGGTCGAGCCGGCCCATTCGTGCTACAACCATAATACAGCTGCGGCGAGGCTCTACCACGTACAAAAATGAATTGAGGATTACAGTACCAGACGTCTTGCACCTGTGACGCTACTTCTCGTTTACATTTTTTTTATAGGATAGGGTCACACAGTCCACCTGATGGTAAGTGGTTGCTGAGGCCCTGTAGAGTATGAAAGCCATATTGTGGGCTTATGAAAAAACTAAATGTTGTCAATAAATAAAAGGTATGAATTCAATTTGTGTTTTAGTAGTGAAATCTCCATAAATACACAATAGGCCCATAGACATCTACATCTATTCTCGACTATAAATCAAAATGCAGATGCGTTGTCGCCCGTGTGGATTAAGAAGGAATGCCTCGTTTTCAGTAAAAAGGGTCTCCGATTCTCTACACTCACCATATGAAACACAGCAGCATTACGCTGCTATTTTAGGCTGGTATTCTGTGAGAGAGTGGGTATATTTTACGTCTGATATTAACAATATTTTTATACCACTATCTATCGGAAGCCATAAAATATGGTAAGTATACAACGATTGAAATTTCTATGGATTTTTTTACATCAGCGCGTAAAAGTTTAGAGCTAGATATAAGATTCTTTCTCTAAGTACGGTTTGTCCTCGCCATGTTTGTCGAAAGAATTGTAGCACCAGACGTAACCTTTGCCTCATATCTCCAGCTGTAAAGTAAACCATATACGAGCTGATAAAAATAATAGATACATTTCCAAAGTATACGGCCCGAATATAAGCTTTCTTTTTGTCCATAGATCGTGGGTATAACAGATCCAAAAGGTCGTAAGCGCTACATAGCAGCCGCTTTCCCGTCGGCCTGTGGAAAGACCAACCTGGCCATGATGACGCCAACCTTACCAGGGTACAAAGTGGAGTGTGTTGGAGACGACATTGCGTGGATGAAGTTTGACAAAAACGGTGTCCTCAGAGCTATTAACCCGGAGAACGGGTTCTTTGGAGTTGCTCCCGGTGAGTACTGAGTCTTAAAAACTTCTTCGTCAGCCTGTAAAATTGCGCTAACATGACTGACATGTCGCTCTCACGTTTAGTGGAAGATTTGCTTGTACGTCACATTAGTCAGGCGAATTGAAAATTGCAGAACCAGAAGTATCGCACCTTTAACGCTGCCGCACGTCGCTGTTCTGTGTATTTTACGCCTTGCGTAAGCAGAAGGATAAACCGCCATCTTTTGGAGCTTTTTTATACGAAAGGGTGACAAACGAGCACACAGTCCACCTGATGGTAAGTGGTTGCTGTGGCCCATAGACATCTACATCTATCCTCGATTACGAATCAAAATGCAGATGCGTTGTCACCCGCGAGGACTTAGGTGGAATTACTCGTTTCCAGCAAGAAGGGTCTCCGGTTCTCTACACTCACGATACGAAACACAGCAGCAATAAACTACTATTTGACTCTGGTATTCTGTGAGAGCGTGGTCCTTCCCCGGTCGAGCCAACCCATTCGTGCTACAACTATACTACTAATATAACTGCAGCATGGCTCTACCACGTTTGAAAACTATAGGTATAGTCTTTTTGGCACATCATGATGTAATACTGGTCAGCTCCCGAAGAACATAATCACGATAAATAAGAACAAGATAATGAATTGAATGACTTGAACAGAATTCCCCAGCACTTCGTTATGCAAACTTAATAGGTCCATAGTTAATGCAAAAACGAGTAAGCACTTAAAACTCCTAACGAACAAAATATTTGCTACAGGAACCTCCATTGAAACAAACCCGATAGCAATGGCTTCTATCTTCCGCGATACTGTGTTCACCAACGTGGCAGAAACGAGCGATGGCGGTGTGTGGTGGGAGGGCATGGGGAAAGCTCCCGAGAGCTTGATCGACTGGAAGGGTCAGCCTTGGGATCCTAGCAAGAAGACCTTTGCTGCACATCCTAATTCACGGTAAGATTCACTTATTTTTTAGAATCGTTTTGTTTATTTGTACCTACACCTGGGTTATGCACTATTGCGTTATATTAGACTAAGACACGTCAATTTAATAGGTTTTTTTTTTGTAAAAACTAGAGAACTTACGTTACGCAATTTTATTTTAATTTACTTTACTTTGGAAGAGCTCACCAAATATGCGAATAAAAATCTAATCTAAAATCTCAAATTAGAATTGCAATTACCAATTTTAATAGAGCTGGCGAGGGTCAAATCCGGCTTGCTCGCGTACTAACATATTGTCATCGGATATTCAGACGTCCGGAAGTGGGTGTAAACTAAACTGTAAAAAATGTCTCACCTTGTGGGTGTCATAAGAGGCACACAAAGGGTACACTACTACAATAGTACGTTGAAGTGGCAATGGGTCGACCACATGGCACGGTGAACCGACAACAAATGAATAAGATAAGTCAACAGTATCATGCGCCCTCCTTTCTGCCAAGGAGGGTCGCGTTCGTATACGGCTTAGAGATCTCTAGTTAGACCGTTAAATGACCGTAATAGACCGTTACCAGTCCCTAAAAGGTGGGGTTTAGAGGTTAAAAGTCTCCACATAACCACGCAGCCGGCTGCGTGCTATGCTATGAGCATTCCCCACCTCCCTCCCCCGCTTTCCGGAGGGTTGCCCATATTTGCTTCGGCCGCAAAAAAAAGTCAACAGTATACGAAGTGTAGTGCGACCTCGTCACTGGATGGAGTGACGAAATTAAACTAAACAAACAATCGATGTATTATATATATCCTTTTTACATACGTATATTTCATCCAAAAAGACGTTGTTTTTTGTAAATGTCCATCCCCAGTGACGATCTGTTGAGAGATGCAGAACGATGGAGACTTGTGATGGGCGGTAATGATGATGATTATAAAGATACATAAGGTGAAGCTAATGAGGGGTTATGTTCGTGCGCGGTAGATTCTGCACGCCGGCGGAGCAGTGTCCGATAATCGACAGCGAGTGGGAGAGTGGCGAGGGCGTGCCGATATCCGCGCTGCTGCTGGGCGGGCGGCGGCCGGCCGGCGTGCCGCGGTGCTGGAGGCGCGCGCCTGGCAGCATGGTGTCTTCCTGGGCGCCAGCATGCGCTCCGAGGCCACGGCTGCCGCAGAGCATAGCGTAACTATTCTTTTGATTAAACAAGTTACGAGCGGCTGGTATAAATACGTTGTATAGATTTTGACTGCCTCGTTTGTCAAGTGGTTGTAGTACTTCGACTGCTGATCATTTTGGTCCGAATAGGTTTGAATCCCAGGTCGGAACAAAAATCAATTAATATTGAGTTTTTTCGTCAATAAATTCTCAGTATCTGCCCGGAGTCAGGATTTTTTATAGGAGAGGGGGTAAACGAGCATACGGCTCACCTGATGGTAAGTGATTACCGCCGCCCATGAGCAATTGCAACACCAGGAGAATTCCAGATGCGTTGCCGGCCTTTTAAAAAAGAGTAGGCTCTTTTCTTGAAAGTCCCTAAGTCGTAGCGGTCCGGAAAAATCTCCTTCTAAATCTTTTCCTCAAAGAAAAAAGTTGGCGGTGTGTCACCCCCGTGCTCCGGAATGTACATAAAGCTGTTGGTCCTGCGCCTGATCTCTCTCCGGTGGTGTCGGTTTACCGTCCCATCGAATTATGAGAGTGAGGGAATAGAGAGCGCACCTGTGCTTGCGCATACACTTGGGCACTATAATCCTGTCCTGCGCCGATGGCTAGCCTCAGTTAAGGCAGACCGCCGCGACCGAAATTCGGTCTCGAGTACATTATTAGATATTGAATATATATATATGTGCTATATTAACGTGGTAGAACCACACTACAGCTATTTTAGTACGAATGGGTCCAGTCGACCAAGGTAAGACCACGCTCTCGCAGAATACCACAGAATACCAGCGTAAAATTGCATCTTAATGCTGCTGTGTTTCGTATCGTGAGTGTATAGAACCGAACACCTTTTTACTGGAAACGAGGCATTCCATCTTAGTCCTCAGAGTTGACAAGGCGTCTGCATTTTGTATGTTGCACCCTTATTCTATAAAAAATAGCTCCAAGGTAGTAGAACTCCTTTCTTGCCTCAAAGTTTGTCTGGGCAGGCACCTCTCACCTATTCCTACCGCCGAGTAACAGTGCTTGCACTACTGTGTTCCAGTCAGGTATACCATCTTAGTCTCAATGGTCAGAGGTGACAACGCACCTGCACCCATTTTTGTATGAAATTAGCTGCTGAAATTTATGGACTGCAGTAGACGTTTATCATCAAGTCAACTGTATATCTGACAACAGGCCTGTTCCGTTCTAGTAAGGATTTTAAATGATTATGTGACAACAATTAAACGTCTGAACAAAATGACTATGTACTAGCAACTCCCGACTACAATAGGCTTAGCCAAGTTGACTACCATTGTTAGCGCTGCTAGAAAAAAGTAGTCACGTGATTCAACATTCATAGTTTTACTAGCATTAACGATTTTAAATTTGAAATCTATTTTAATGAAATAAAATTATAATTGAAATCATTAGCCCGTAATAATCTATTGTTGGAAGTAAGCCTCTACTATTAAAATGATGACTTGCCTCATGGAACGCTCGGCAAATGTATTGTTGATCGCAGAACCAGGCGTCTCGAACTTATGACGCTGTTTCTCGTCCCCGGTTTTACATATCTGATCTGCACGAGATAGTAAAGCCGGCGTCACTTGGAAGCGTAGCATTTTGTTTTTATGAATAAAGGTGACAAACGAGCACATAGTCCACCTGATGGTAACTGGATCTGGCCACTAAACATCTAGACCAATCCTCCATAAAGAATCAAAATACAGATTTGTTATCATCCCTAAAGACTAAGATAGAATAAGTTGTCGGTCGAGACGATCCGTTTATACTTAAACCATTATATAGCTGCATTGTGGCTTTACTGCGTATAATATACCACGCATTTCCTAGTCGCCTCTTACGCTACCTCTTACGCTAGCTATAGGGCATAATTTGGTATTATATTTTTTAACCGCTTTCAAAAAGGAGGAGGTTCTCAATTCGAGTGTATGTTTTTTTATTTGTAAGTTACGCGATAACTTCGCAGATTATGAACCAATTTTGATGATTATTTTTTTATAGAATATGTTGTACTTCAAGGGTGGTCCTATATAATTTGGAGAAAAATTTCCATTCCTAAAGGTTGCAAATAAATAACTTCTTTTTTTACCAATTTGAAGTCGGTTTTACTTTTTGTTAAAATTTATAATTATTAAAGTTATCCAATTATTGAATTCAGTAAAACACACATTAAATAACTTTAATGCACAGGGTAAAGTGGTGATGCACGATCCGTTCGCGATGCGTCCGTTCTTCGGTTACAACTTCGGTGATTACTTGAAGCACTGGCTGTCCATGCCGCAGCCTGGTCGCAAAATGCCCAAGATATTCCATGTCAACTGGTTCCGCAAAGACTCTCAGGTAACTGATTTATTCATACTAACGTAACCGATCTAAATAAGTAAGAAAGAAGGAGAATATTTATTTATTGCTGCTACTTGCAGAACATCAATTTTACAAACAACAAAAAAGCCACCGACTCAGCATAAAGCTGTAGTTAGTTGAGTAATAGTTACCGTAGTGTTGATATTCTATTAGAGCCACTAAGTCGACTCGCGAGCAATCGCGGGACGTAATTTATTTAACGTTAAATCTAATAAGGTTTTAAGTAATTAAATATTATTCACATTAAACTAGTTAACTTATATATGACTTTGTTTTGTAAGTCTTGAAATGATGTAATTTTGAATCAGTTTTCAGTTATGTTTGGAAAATTTTAGTATAGAAAATTTTAGTATATATGTATTTAATTCTTTCAAGGGTAAATTCCTATGGCCCGGTTTCGGCGAGAACTGTCGCGTGCTAGAGTGGGTGCTCCGACGTTGCGACGAAGAGCCATGTCATATGGAGACTCCCTTAGGGTTCGTGCCTAAGCCTGGCGAGCTTAACATCGACAACCTTGGCGATATCAACATGAAAGAGCTGTTCAGCATCCCTAAAGACTTCTGGTTGCAAGAGGTAAGTTTATACCTCAATTTTTGTAGCAGCATCATTGTCAGTGGCCTTATTTTTTATAGAATAGGGCAACAAACGAGCACACAGTCCACCTGACGGTGTTTGTTGTGGCCCATTGTCATCCCTGAGGACTAAGATGGAATAACTCTTTTCCAGTAAAAAGTGTCTCCGGTTCTCTACACTCACCATACGAAACACAGCAGCGTTATACTACTAATATAGCTGCAGCATAGCTCTACCACATATACAATCCTTCAAATTTATGCGTAATTTAAGCCAAAATTGACTGAGAAATTGGTGGCAATATAAAAATTATCATCTTGTCATGATCTTTAAACATACCTGATTTGTTATAGGTATAAGAATGAAGGGGTTTTATGATAAGTAATTAAAAGATTATTTCTAAAGTTATTCTTAAAAGAAAGAAAAACTAGCAGACTTAACAAAATTTGTGATTCTAGGCGGATGCAGTTGAAAAATACTTCAAGGAAGAAGTTGGAGAGGACTTACCGAACGAAATGTGGGAAGAATTGAACACACTGAGAACGAACATACAAAACTCATAGACTACCAAAGACAACGGGATTAAAAGAAAAAAAAGAGTATATTTTAACATTAATAATATTGTACATAAATATATTATATAAGTACATTCCAATGTTATATAAGCCTTATATTAGTATTAGGAATTATTTTATTTTAATTTAAGAATACTTATCCAATCTATAAACTACGAAATTTGAAATTAAAAAATTCAGATTAAAATTGAGACATATCTAATACCACAGATTAAAATATAATTTTGGCAACATTACGATAACGTATTAGAACATACAAAGGCTGTGCTAGTTAGGAAATTGTGTAAATAAAAAAAATTAAAAAAATTAAATTATTTTTGTAAGAGAAAATATATTGAATATATAATTACATATTATCTTATTATTTTTTTATTTACAAGCAACCTAACATATCATCATCGACGTCATCATTACAGCACATCACACCATGTTGAACAATGGCCTTCCCCCACCAGAAATGCCACAACGCACGGTCCTGAGCCCCCTGTATCCATCGATTTCTTGCGCCTCCTACCACGTCGTCTCTCCATCTAGTGGAGGCCACCCTCTTACCTTACCTTATAGATACGAGACCGTCACTCGAAAACCTTTCTTCCCCATCGGTTGACGGTTCTTCGAGCTATATAGCCAACCCATAGCCACTTCAGCGTACTGATCCCTTGGGTTATATCAGTTACTCTGGTACCACCGGACCAAAAATATGTACGCATAAAGTAATTTTATTTTTAATATGATTTAAAAAAATAATAAAAGACACCGTGGAAAAATCTACAAAATGTATAAATCAATCTATAAAATCTAGGTGGGATTGTGGTCAAACACTGACTTATAAAAAGTGAAAAAAATCTACCACAATTTTTTTTTATAGCTTAGGATGACAAACGAGCACACAGTCCACCTGATGGTAAGTGGTTGCTGCGGCCCATAGACATCTACATCTATCCTCGATTACGAATCAAAATGCAGATGCGTTGTCACCCGTTTGGACTAAGATGGAATGCCTCGTTTCGAGTAAAAAGGGTGTCCGGTATTATATATATATCCTGTACTTGATAAAATTCACCGAGGGAAAATACATAAGTGGAATTTACTTCTGAGCAAGTAAATTCCACTTACGTATTTATAAATAAAAATAATTAAATTCCAGAAAATCTAGTAAACGTCACTCGACGAAGGACCATATCAACAAGCTTTTCAACCGACTTCCGAAATAAGGAGGAGGTTCTCAATTCGACTGGTGTAACCGATTTTGATGATTTTTTTTATTAGAAAGCTGGTGCTTCCCATGTGTACCTTATAAATTTGATCGAGATCTGACTTCGACTACATTAATGATGTTCCTGTTTTATTTATATTAAAGTCGGTTGTACAACATTTTTAATTTTACCACTTGTTTTATATAGCATGAGGCAAATATATAGTAAGTGTATACATACGATTATGAGTATAACGGTTACCTAATGGAAAGTACCTGCCGCCTTTTGATGTGTTGCCGGCTATTTAGTAAGAAGTAATCTTAACTTAAATTTATTTATGACTGCAGACTCCTCAAATATGCCTATAAATAACGGCGAGCTCATCGAAAGTGCAGATGGGGCCCTTATTCGGACTCGTCAAATTTTGCCGCGGCATTGCTCGGTGTCGGCATTTTAGTGCGAGTCAAAGGGCGCATACGGAATGCGACATGTGTCAATGCGGCATGCACTCTCTGATCTCAATATTCAACTCAAAGTTACAGTCTATTAAAGTCCACTGCTGACGGTTGTCGCTTATCGACGCAAACACAGTTTTGTGGTACGAGACTCGCAGCTGCTGTCAAACGACTTACGTTTGCGGCAGAATAGGGAGGGTTGAAGTGGAAGGAGATGAAGACTTTTTCCTATATTACTATTATTTTCTAACTTACAAGTTAACTTACGTTCCGGTAGGCATAATATGTAAATTGCGGGCCTAGATTTGTAATGAGTTTATGAGTCCTGTTATTTTACCAACCTTCATAGAACAAACTTTAGATCACGGAGCAAACTTTGTATTTGCTCCGTGCTTTAGATGGTATCCTTTCTGCCCGCGAGCCTGCCTAACTAGATACCATCTTCTCTCTGTCCCCCGGTCTGAAGCATATACAGACCCAGAATTAAGACCGATTTACACTTCGACAAGTACAATAACGAGTTAACTTGCGAACCTGGCGAGTTAAGTAGAAAATCTCGTTTGAACGGCAATAAGCGACTTAACTACCAAGTTAACAATTAAGTTGAACGGGATAGCCGGCCGGGCTATTTTTCGGCGAGTTAAGTGCGAAGTGTTGCCCTCCCGCGCTCACCGCTCGTGTGAACGAGCGAGTTTACACGAGCGGTGAGTTTAGTTGCACGTGGTTGCAATATATACAGAAAGTTTACTCGTAGTACAGTGCATATGTTGAATGGACGCGACGTTTGCGCGCCAAAACGTATAATTATAATTTTATAACTAAACTCGCCACAAAGTTTGTATGGTACTATTTATTGAATATTTATACGTTTTATATTGAGTTTTAATAATGAAATGGACGGAGGATATCACGTATAAATTCGTACAGGAGTATTTAGAACACGAATGTTTATATAATAGTAGAAGTTCAAATTATGAAATTAAACCTGCTCGAGATGCTGCACTGCACTCATAAAAATTCTTAAAAACTTCTTTAACTCTTAAAAATCCGAGGTCTCCATTTGGATTCTTAAATTACTCCTTGTAGACCGCGCCAAAGAGTATACTAATATTTAGAGGGACGCCTTAGAACCAAAGAGTATATGATCACTGGTGGAGCGACGAGCCTAAGGCTACCGAAGTCCAATTCCCCGGTCGAGCCTTAAAACATATTACGCGAGATATTAACCAAAGTGGACTGTATATGCGAAATGCTTCTACGTTTACATAAAATGGCGACTATAGCACGCGGTTTCCCATACAATGCACTCGCTCTTCCCTAAAAACGAACTATTATTTGCCAAATCTATGAAAGGAATCCTGCTTGGTTAGGAGAAAATAAAATTGGAGCGGATTAACTATTAAACACAATTATATCAAGCAGGAACTATTAGGAATGTTCACTCACCGGGGTGTTGCTTCTATGCGGCTTGGGCACTATATTGCTGCGACTTCTGGAAGACACTCTGGGTAGACTCTCTGGGTAGACTCTCTGGAGAGAGGCGGTGCGCAACTATATCTCACACGAGGTGAGGCGGGTTTCCTGCAGCTCGACTGCTTCAGGCTAAGCGGTTATACTAGCGGTGCGCGTGGGCAAGAGCTCTTTAGGACACTATTATCCTAGGCGGTGTGGTTCCAACGACGAGCGCGGCGGGAAGAGCGGCGCGCGTCGGCCGCGCGTGCTTTTTTATTCCTTCGGTTGCGATGATTGCGTAATATTCTAGAATCATCTTCTTTCACCTCCCACCCCACCACCCCGATGTGTCGATAGGAGGGTATGAATGATATCGTTTGGAAAGGGATAAACGATTTGGCAAGCCTACCGTCAAATAAATAAATACGAATGATTTTCCGCGCAACCAATCACAAAGTTTACGCGAAACCATAGATAAGAGTGCTCAGGACGATTCTTTTTTAAATGTTATTTATAAGAATTTTGTTCTTAAAGAATATAATTCTTAAATTCTTAAAGAATTATATTCTTATAAATAAAGTTTAAAAATAATTATATTAAAAGAATTATATTATTATATAGATCACATATAAACTTAAAAACTTGGTAATATTAAGTTGCTGAAAGACACGCTGTACTTAAAAAATTATGTATGCGTGTTATGATATTAAGTGGAATCTCTATAACTCGAACCTCGTAAGTCGAAATCCTCAGTAAGGGATGTCGAAAAAATTGCCATTCCCTTCCGCTGAACCCCTAAATAAGCGGTATCTCGAATTATTAGACTTTGTAACTCGAACAAAATGTTATTTCCCTACGAAATATTGATAATATATATTTATACTCTATAACTCGAATTTCAAAAAAGGAGACACCGTAAGTCGTAATTAGTAAACAATAATGACGTCTTACTTGGAATTCCCCGAAATAATAGCAATAAAATCCGGGTTCTTAATAGTCAAGTAGCTGCCGTGTCACCTGCCGAGCGTCAGCCGAGCTCGGCAGGTGACGCGGCAGCTATATATATCTTGAAATTTTCAACTATAACGCCCGGTAGTCAAACATGAAACGTCCTATAACTCAAAAAGTATGGACATTAGAAAAAAATTCAAACAAAAGTTTAGGCAAATAAACTGATCTTTCAAAATAAATAAATTTATGCATTTTATTGATTAATCTAATATTTCAAGAGTTATTGGCCGCGATAGAAAACCCTGTTCATTAAATGGGTCATAAATCGTAAACGGTAAGTTTTACAAAAAAGTTTACTGGAAACAAAAGATGCGAAATTTTATTTTCTACAAAAATGGTTTGTATAACTTTTGCCATAAAGTGCATAGTTTCCGAGATATCGGCTGAAAACGTTTTTTCAAGATTGCGCTTGAAGCGCCACCTGGATCTGTCGGCATTTTGTGATTTTATGCTGAATAAGTGATCCTAAACCTCATAAAAAAATAAAATTGTATTGGAAATTTCGTGCAATGTTAAATTCTATTTTTACTGGACTATTTCATTAAACATTTTATTTGTCAACAACGTCTTACAATCGTCGTTTCTCTAGCGCTCACGTGACCTTCATACAAATAATTCGATATTTAATTGTTAATAATTTTCTAATGTATATAAAAAATCATCTAATAATCTTAAACGAAAACAAGAAAAATTCTGTAGTCTTGAAACGTCACACTCAAACGAACTCTATGAACTAATGTCCTTAACTAAACTCGCTACTGTACTTGTCGAAGTGTAAATCGGTCTTTAAGCATTTCATCTTAGTTCTTAGATGTGTCAACGGATCTGTAGGGTTCTTTGCTGCAAGTTGGATCCTGATATCCAAGGATTGTAGTAACTAGTAACCTATCATCACTGTGGCGGACTGTAAGTTCATTTGTCGCATTTATTTTATACAAAACTAAACTTATTTATGCCGCACTTGTGTTTGAAAACTATAAAATTAAATAAATCATTTGCTGTGAAATGTTTTTTTTTATTTTATCTCATTTGAAGATTTCACTTCTACCGCATGTAAACTGCGCACATGCTTTTTTTGGTGTTACAGCTATTCTATGTAATATTCACTGTAGATTATAAAAAGGGAATGCCTGCGGAGTTACCATCGCCGTTTCTTCTCCTGTCAGAGGAACATCACTTCGGATCGGTGGTTGGTTTGGAATAAAACTGAATGTTTGACGACAAATTTTTTTATTCCTTATATGGAAGAATTAATAAACCTAATTCATTTCATTATACTCAGGACATCGTGGAAAAAATGCTAAAGTTTAAGCGTACAATCTATTTCATATGCTTTGCAGAAAAAACTCTGACACCGTTTTGGGTCGATGCTCTAGCATATTTCGTTAGCAATGCATTCACGTTTAGTTTCTCGGTTGCATAAGATCTGAAAAGATTATATAATTAAGATAAGAGTAGAACATTAGCAAATAGTTTTCTTAATTATTCCAAAGGCATTCTTACTCTATGTAAGGTGATATTTCATCTACAGTCCATTTCGCTTTGGTCCGAAACAAGATTTTGAATCTTTCGTTTATATCGTCCGGAAGATCGCTCTCGGAAAAGCCCCACACAACTTGGGGCGTGCTACTTTTGTCTACAATAGCTATTCCGGATAATAAAGATTCCTGCAATAAAATAATTTAACGCATTTTTAATTACACAAAAATAACGTAAAATTTCTGTAAGTATAAAAATTTATGTTAACTTAAAGCTTCGCAAAAAAGTAACAAAAATTATGCCACCGGCTATTGCATCGCAATAATTTGTCTAATTATACAAGTATACTATTATATACGCAAGTCGATATTATATAAAATATTATAGACACTCGGGCTAATTTACTTAAATTTGTTTTGAAATATCGGTTGTTCAAATCAGCCTCAAGAAGATTGTGAACCTGTACATTTTCATACAAAAAGCGATAACTATTTGCCCTCCGTAAACGTAGTCCAAATTTTCATGATTTTTGGAAATGTATTATTTATATAAATGTATAATGATTTAATGAAAACTAGGTCCGTACGTTTTTATTTTAAAGAAATATTGCGTACGATATAAGTTATTAGCATCTAAATATCTATATTTTTGACTTAAAAACTTCCTCGAACGTTATATTTTTAATTATACTGAATTACTAAAAAAGAAAAACGTACAGACCCAGATTAAGGTGTACTGTATCTAATAAGACAAAATTGTCTTATTTTATAAAGGTTTAGAGGGGTGAAAACGTTATCGCTCGAAACAATATTTAAAAAGGGAAATGTAGGCAATTACTTCCAACCGCTCACCACTGATTCACACCGCTTACTCCGTATCGCACGATACGGCGATACAGAGTGACCGTTGTGAAACAGATAGCATTTTTGAAAATACTTACTCGCGCCGTATATCGACACGTGACAATCCTCTTAAAACATCTTGTAATTGACTTTTCTTACTAATACGAAAAAATGAAGGTTATAAGGTTGACTTTTTCCAAACGCCAACCCTCCTAGCACTGTCTGCACTCCATGTAGGTACTATTGAAGGAGACTTTGACAACTGAGATATGCCATTCTGATTACACTTATAATCATAATCCGAGTCTGCTGATGGGAAACAGATTTAACTCTTTCTGTCCGTTCAACCAGGTGACGATGGCCATACATTACAAGATATGTGGCTATTAAAATAAATGTTATAAGACCTAAGTAACTTACGTCAGTAGTCATTCCTTCTGGCACTGAGTCTCGCCACGCCTGCAGAAACTCTGCATAATTAAATTTTCCAGCACTCTTCAACAAAACTCTCGCTAAAAATCTACATACTTTATCTTGTTTGTACTGATAATACTGTACATTTTCTTCTTTATATGTTTCAATGGTGTAAAATTTAAATAAGGCTTCTAACACAGCTAGAGGTACGAGATCTTTTAAACTGTCAAAGGTTATTTTTTTCGATATCCTATTCAAAGGCCACGAATTCTCTTCTATCAGATCTAACATGTACGAGAGAACTCTAAATTCGTAATCAAAATCAAGTAATCGATAGTGGTCATTAATTTTTACCGCCTGTATTTTTTCAAGTTCCATGTCTATTTCTGCTCGAGATGCCTGCACCTGCTCATAAATTGCATCATAATCAACAAGCTTGGATTTGTCAACTGCATATTCCAGCTCTGGACCTTGATATAAGGTTGCTTCTAGAAGTTTCCGTAATTTCGATAATCGAGGTTTACATGGTTTTAATTCATAATAAGTGAAAAACGTATTAACAACATCTTTAAATTCTACCTTTCTGGGCTCTCTTGTTCCGTCATCTGAATCATTTGATTTATTTAGACTATTATTTGACTTATCAAATGATGTGTCTGAATCACATTCCATTGAATTATTACCCAATACTTCATCTCCGCCTGTCGATGCAGCGTACAGCAAATCAGGAACTAACAAAAGACTGTTAGAGGTTTCGGCTTCCTTAACGTCGTACGTTTTATTTTCTGTGCACATAACAACATTTTCGTCTGGGTCTCCTATTAAAAAAGAAACATATAGTCATAAGCCTATCTATGATCCACCGCCAGGCACAGCCTCCCCCCATTTCTGAGAGTATTATGGAGTAATTAGTTCGCCACGCTGCTCCGAGTGAATGTTCTCGAGACATTTTCATTTATATTTAAAACTTCAGATAAGCACGTTTTCTTACAATGATTTCTTAAACCATCGAGCACGTTATAAATGAACACTTAAAATTTCAAACTGACTGATTGACTGAATTGGCGTCAACGGAGATCGAAGTCAGGTTGCTCGCGTAATTTGAAATTTACAGAAAGCTTTTACCCTTGAACTACTACGATTTAAATCAAATAAATATTGATGTTTTGAAAGAGCCGTGGTAGCTCAGATGGTTGGCACTCACTGTAAATTTCACGGTACGCGAGCTATCCTGGTGCAATCCCCGCCGGCACCAATGATATTGTTAATTGCAATTTTAAATGCTGATTTACCACGTGCTCGGCGGTGAAGGAAATCATCGTGAGGAAACCTGAAGAAATGTGAAGTTCTCCAACACGCATTGGGGCAGCGTGGCGGACACTTGCTTGCCTTAATAGCTTCTCAGAAATGAGGGGGGCCTGTGTTCAGCAGTGGGACGTATATAAGCTGTAAATTTTTAGTTTTTATTTATGTTTTGCAATTCTCTAAAGGAAAAAACCAAGAAAATACGTAATTAATAGAGAAACGTTAAAATATGTTACTTATAACTAAATGACGTATTTGTAAATAAAAAGTAAACAAAGTGAACAAAAAAATGGCGGGACACTGTTTTGGATATGCAAGAGTTGCAATTAAAATAAACCCCCTTCGATTTTTGAGAAGCCAAGAAGTTAATAGCAGATAGGTAGTACCACTTCTGGCTTACTGAGTCAGAAAAAAGGTTGGTGGTTCACGGTCGACTTGGTGCACCGTCATTAGCGCCCCATTGTTCTTATCTATTTATCTATTGTTCATTGAATACCGTCATTGTCTATTTTTCCTCGGCGTATGCGTCGGCTTATCAGTGCTATTGTATTATACTTCTTTGTTCCTATCTACGACGCTAATCTGAATCATCAATAAAACACATTACCTAATTTTGTTACAATTTTTATTTACAAAATACAAAATCTTATTACTTATTGTCTATAAAATAGGAGCGAAACATCTCATCCACTAAAACATCATTGTGTTCCCTGTAAATATACTCGTAAAACTATGCATTGAACATCCCTGAAACTTATATAGCAAATACATTAAGCAATATTCGCCACAAACTGAAGTCCACTCATTCCTGAATCCTATCAACACTCCAGTTCCATCTTTTACAATTCCTTTTTAAAAACTCTAGATGATATCGTACAGGTGATCGTCCATATGAATCAAAATATTGACCGACGTCATTCGTATCGATATATAAAGCTACCCAATGTGACCCTGGTTTATCATCTGTATCCAAATTGCATATTATATACGTTGGTACGTGGGTATACATGGGCAGTATATTAGCAGCATAAACATTATTTTCTAGACTAGGGTGAATCTTTTTCAGATGTTGTTGTACATCTAGTGTATCCATGATATTACTGCTATTAGTAAATTACTACAGTACAAATCTACTCAATGAATAACATAGGAATGATCAATTATAGTGATTTATAAATCTTAAGTTGCATTCTTTTGTGTTATACAAATCGTATTTGAGTCATCGTTACACTGAACAAGACGCAACATGAAGGAATGTTGAGATAAGCAACAGAATGTGATGTGAATTTTAACTTTTTGGTTCAAAATGACACAAAATCTAAAAAATATTAGATACATCATCGACATGGACGAATTTTACATTACATATCCTCATAAACATTTTCAATGTAGAGAAATGGCTATTCTAGACGTAAAACTATCTAATAAAAATTATGCATTTATCGATCATTATTTGTTTCGGCCAAGTTATCCTTTCAATTATTTGTTGCCAAAAGACAAAAAAAACTGTTCGTTATTGCGAAACACTCGTGCACGGCATTCCATATTTTGACGTGACCGAAGAATTAAAATGTGCCTACAAACAAGAGAACATCATTCCCATATTAAATTGGTACATTAGAAATTTGTGCAAAGACGAAGTGATCGCATACAAAGGTGGTTCAGCAGAAAAACAATTTTAAAAAATGTTGACGACGAATGATAGAATTTTTAATATTGAAGAATACACATGTCCAAAATACAATGATTTGGTAAATGTCATAAATTTAAACAAACGTTATGTGCGTAATAATCATATATTTGCAAAAAATAATCACAAAATTTTACATTATTCTTGTGATGAAGTGTGGGTTTTTACAAGTGGTTATTGCTTGAAAATAAAATTTTAAATTAATCATAAATTTTGTTTCATTTCCCAAAACATTAGTTATAGTACACAATATATATTAATTGTTTACCTACACCAACACTTTCATTTTTTATTACACCCCTTAAAACTTTAGACGTGTGTAATGTTTCACTTTTTACAGCCGTTTACTGCTATTGTGGCAGGACCAAGTGGATGTGGGAAGTCAAATTTTGTAACAAATTTCATAAAATCAGTTACGGAAATATCTAAGTGTGATTTTAATCAGATCACATGGTGCTTTGATGAAATGCAACCTTTATATAATTTACCAAATGTTAACTATCATCAAGGAATTCCAAATCTTAATATGTTTGATGGTGAAAACCCACATCTTGTTATTATTGATGATCTAATGAGAGAGTCCGATGGAAGAATTGTAGATATATTTACAAAAGGTAGTCATCACAGGAATCTCAGTGTATTTTATTTAACACAAAATTTATTTCATCAGGGTAAAGGGCAAAGAGACATATCTTTAAACTCAATTTATATATTTTAAAAACCCTCAAGATAAAACTCAAATAAGATATTTAGCACAAGTGTCACGAGATAACCGAAAATTCATTGAAGATGCCTACAGGGATGCAACTCTAGAGGCGCATGGATATTTAATGATAGATTTAAAACAGAATACCAATGACTTTTGTCGTATCAAGACAAATGTTTTCCTATTTAATTGTTTCTGTACAGTCTACGTCCCCACAAAAGAGTTTAAACACACCAAGAATCAAACAATTCAAATCATTGCTAAATGATGCATCGTCGACTCACAACGCATAAACATTTGCTAAACGCTTTGCATACGCTTAAACCAAAATATCAAAGAGCATTACTTAAAACGTGTGATGAAGAAGAAATTAACTGTATTTGTGAGTGTATACATAACGTTTTACAAGGAAAAGTACCTCTTAAAGATCAAGATAAACAAAAATTGAATAAACACAAAAATATACTCCGTAAACTAGTGCGTAAGTGTAAAAATAAACTAAGAAAAAATATAATTATACAAAAAGGAGGGGCTTTCTTACCAATAATATTAGGTGCAATATTGAGTGGATTAGTGAGTGGACTAGCCAGTTAACATGTAAAATGCAAAGAAAATGATACTTATCGAACCTGGATTGATTGAAAAATTAAAACAAGAAAATAAGGTTAATAGTAATTTATCTCGATTAGATATTGAAATGCAAAATATTATGAATAGTAAGACGAAAGACCGAAAGAAATGGATATTTATATTTACAAATACTGCAAAGATGCCTTCATTTTACCGAAGAGGATCGTCAACCACTCAGATTACCAATTTATTCTGATACATCTAATGAAGATTCAAATGAGTCTAAAATTGGTTTTAAAAATAAAGATAGAGATCTAAAAACTTCAGTTGATGCTGAATCTTTGTTGGAGGAGAATTGATCCATTAAAAGCAAAGAAAATGATGAAAATACACTTTACACACCAGCTCAAATACTCAGTTTAATACCAAAAACTTATAATAAAAAAGGACAGTTATTATTAAACTTAGTTGAAACAAGTAAAAGTAAAATACATTGGGATAATGTAGGTACAGTCATAATTGATGATGAAAAAATTCCTGGAAGTAATATTGTTGATTTAATAAATGATTCACTAAGACCTTTAAAAAGAAGTGATCCAGTAGGGTGGGATAGATTTGCTGAAGTATTAAAAGATATTAAAGTACCACTTACTTATATTGGAAATCCAAAGAGATGTGAGTTTATTAACGAACTTCAAGCAAAAGATCTGAACAAACCCTCTGAGATTGAAGTTCAAGAGTTTTCTACACCGAGCAGTAGAGATAAAAAGTCTACAACTAAAATACGTAAAAGGCTTGAGTGGGAAAAATGGACCCCGTACTAGAAGAAATTAACAGGATTTATTATGATCCATCTAATCCGCTGGTTTTGGTAGTATTGATAAATTATCAAAAGCCATGAAGGGTAAAATGAATAAAAGGCAAGTAAAGGAATGGTTAAAATCACAAAAAACATACACATTATATAAACCCATTCGAAAAAAATTCCCGCGTAATAGGTACCTTCTATCAAATATTAATGAACTGTGGCAAGCTGATTTAAATGATATTTTTTATTTATTTATTTATTTAATCGGAAATCCCTCGGTTAACAAAAACAGAGTAGGTAGAAAACAATTAAACAATAGGAAACCATTTATGGGTTTTCGCAAATAGTGGCACTATATAAATAATTGCATGCGATGACTTACCGACAGCTAATAGGACACTGTCGCACCAACTGTAAGCTTAGCTAAGTAACATCGTGCATTAAATAACTAAACATTACAGATTAACAAAAGCAAAAAATATAAAAAAATAAAATAAAATAAAAAGAAATGAGAAAGATCATCAGCTGGAATTGAAAAAAAGGCTTACTCAGAACTCGTCTCGCCGAAATGATACTTGTGTTGAATAGCTCTAAGTTAAACAATTGGGATACAATATTAAAATTCTTGCTCGCACGGTACATATAACTATTCTGCCTATAATTAGTCTTTGCTGCGGGTAGTGATAGTGGGACCTTTCGTCTAACATTTTTTGGAATTTTGATATTTAACTTCTCAAGT